TCCAGAAAAGGGAAGGTTCAGTCTCAGATCTCTCCCTTATACAAAACCGAGTCCTTTGTGGCACTGGCTGTGATGGCAGACATCCGATCTTCAGGTACACAGATTTGCTGGGGGATACTATTCAGCGCGACACTGGCTGCTCTGAGACGCACACCTGTCAGGAAGGTCGAGAATTTACCTTCACACACGAGGAAAGGAGTAAGTCAGATTCAGTCTTCCTCTCAGAAGATGACTTGGGAGACATGACCAACCTCAGAAGCCCTGACAACCAAGATTAGAGGCTGGGACTGTGGATGCGTGCTCTTCTTCTCCGCTGGATTGGAAAGGGTGGCGTACTGGCAAGAGGAACTGAGGAGCTGGAGTTCGCCCCTGCCTCATCCCTATCTTCTCTGAGAGCCTCGCCCAAGCCTCTGCCTGGCTAAGCACATATTCCCCACCAGGACACAGGTGGGGAAGTAAGGACTGGTCAAGTCAGGCCCAGTCACCAGAGTGAGTTAAATTCTCTCCCTTCTTCCCTGAGGCAAACAAGAGCTCCTGAGGTTCCCTACCAGGTTCTGACTTAGCCAATTACCAGGGCCCCAGTGGCCACCAGGATCCTCTATGTGGGGCGGGGAGAATGAGAAGAGCTCCTGCTGAGAGAAGCTAGGGGAAGGGGGGAACACTTGTCTCTAGGGAGCCCAGTCCCTGCAGAGAGTCTTAGCCAGGATTTTCCTTTGACTGTCTCACCCACTCCTTCCCTTCCCAGGGTTCTCATCCTATGGGGTCAGCCACCCATCAACCCCAGTGACTCCATATCCCCATACCCAGGTCTGTCTCTTGTGCCCCAGCATACTGCACACTGGGGTCATGTCCTCATTTCCAAACACCCATCCTTTGGTGTCCCCTCTGTTAGAAATGCTGCCACCCCATGTGTTCTGGGGTGGGGTAGAGAAAGCAGTCAGGACTGGGAATGGCCTTGAGGGCTGCCTCCTCTTCCTAGCCTAACCCTGCCTGGCTTTTGTTCCTTCTGTGAAATGCGCCCATCTTTATTCCTTCTTTCCTTAGCAGCCCTTAGCTGAAACTAAGCCTATATCCCACCATGCCTGTCCTGTGAATTCTTATTTATTTCTTACAACCTAAGAGAGTAGGCTCTGTTTTTACTTTTGAATTTTCATTTTGTTGTTGTTTGTTTTTTTGCATGTGGCATCTGAGGAAACAGACAGTCAAGTCCATATGAAGAACCTGAAAATTCCCAGAACTTCATTGCTTCACATCCGGGACTGTTTGTCGGACTCTAAAGACTGAACCTGCCGCCTGTGGCCGGGAGAAGAGGCGAGAGATGAGCGCAGAGGAAGATGTAGAGACCATGGCATTTGCACTGGACAAACTCTAAGTCTGCCCTAGATCTTTTAAAAATATTTATTTATTTAGATGTGTATAAGTGTTTTGTCTGCATGTATGTATGTGTGCCACATACATGCTTGGTGCCCAGGGAGGTCAGAGGAGAGCATTGGATCCTCTGGAACTGGAGTTACTGAGGGTTGTAAACTGCCCTGTGAGTGCAGGGAACCAACCTGAGTCCTTTGCCAAAGCAGCAGCACCCTTAACCACTGAGCCTCACTCCAGTCCCCTCCCCCAGCCTAGTTCTTTATCCAGGCTCTTGAGGACAAAGTCCAGGGCTTGGCGGCCAAAAGGGAAGCTGGTGAAGGGAGAAGGATGTGTAGTGTCTGACTCCTGGTGTGGGGCTGAGGCTATCTCAGGGTCGTGTGTCTACCTGATGCCTGGAAGTCAGAAGAAAGTCAAGCACGGTCCAGGCATGTCTTCTAATGGAGTGTTGTAACATGAATGGGGCCTGCTTGTTGTTGGGGTTTTTGTCCCACCCGGTACCCCACAACTGTTTAGCCACAAAGAAAATCACACATAGGTCTCCATAAATTATAAGCTGATTGGCCCATTAGCTCTAGCCTCTCACTGGCTAACTCTCACATCTTGATTAACCCATTTTTCTAATCTATGTTAGTCATGTGGCTCAGTACCTTTTTTTTCAGTGGGGCAGATCACATCCTGCTGCTTCGGTGGTCTGGACAGGAGTGAGAGGAATCAGCTTCCTCCTTCCCAGAATTCTCCTGTTCTCCTTGCATCATTTCTACTTTCTGTTTGGTTTTCCCGCCTATACTTCCTGCCTGGCCAATCAGCGTTTATTTAAAACATGATTGGCAGAATACAGACAATTCTTCTGCACAAGAGTGTGATTTGGACACACTAGAGCCAGGACATTCTGGGCATAGCAGGAGAGTTGCTCAGGCCCAGGGGTCTGAGAGAAAGTAGAGTTTGAATAACGCTTGGTCCAGGGGGTTCAGGATGCCTGTAGCAGTGTGCTGATTTTAGATTGTAATCTGGGTCAGGATGGGAGGGGACACACTCAGTCTGGGTTCAGGATGCAGCAGGGGTGCTCATTTTAGATTGTAATCTGAGTCAGGATGGGAGGGGACACACTCACAGTCTGGGTTCAGGATGGGAGGGGGCACACTCATAGTCTGGGTTCAGGATGCAGCAAGGGTGCTGATTTTAGATTGTAATCTGGGTCAGGATGGGAGGGGACACACTCACAGTCTGGGTTCAGGATGGGAGGGGGCACACTCATAGTCTGAGTTCAGGATGCAGCAGGGGTGCTGATTTTAGATTGTAATCTGGGTCAGGATGGGAGGGGACACACTCACAGTCTGGGTTCAGGATGGGAGGGGGCACACTCATAGTCTGGGTTCAGGATGCAGCAGGGGTGCTGATTTTAGATTGTAATCTGGGTCAGGATGGGAGGGGACACACGCACAGTCTGGGTTCAGCAGCCACATATAGCGAGGAGAGGGAGCTTGGTAAGCCTTGAGGCCCAGCAGTGGCACACACACTGAGAAGCTACCTGGAAACTAATGTGTAGCCATGGTTGGGAGGCCCTGATCTAGACTTTCCTGCAAGGCTGTCTGTCTTTCTGTAGGAAATGGTTTTCTATGGGGCTCAGTGAGCCCATCCTGGGCTGCACAGTGGGCAGAGCAGGGAGCCTTAAACAGTACTTCTGCGCTGATGGGACTCCACTTCCAGTCTGGCTGACTTGGTCCTGAGGGAGGTCAAACTGTAGATCAGGCTAGCCTCAAACTCAGAGATCTGCCTGCCTATTATTATTTAAACTTTATTTTTATTTATGTGTATGTTTGTTTATTTATGTGCAAGGGTGTGCCATGTGTGTGGATGGCCTAGCAGGCCGGCTGGAGTTACAGGCAGCTGCGAGCAGCTTGACGTGGCTGCTGGGAACAGAACTCAAGCTCTCTGAGAGAGTGGCAGTGATCTTAACTACTGAGTCACCTCTCCAGCCTCTACTTAAAATTCTTAATAATTTATTTGTATTATTTAATAAGCTGTGTATTTTTGAGCCATGATACCTTCATAGACCATAAAGTATCAAGTAGAGGTCTCTTCTATCTCCACCCCCACCTCACTAACAAACGCATCCTTCTTCCCGGTGCTAAGGATCAATCCAGGGTCCCTAGGCACACGCTGGGCAAGTATTTGCCGCTGACCTATATACCCAGCCACTCTTAATAATTATTTATCATTATTGCCTGTTTTGATACAGGGCCTTAATGTGTAGATTTGACTGGCCTAGAATCTGCTAGATAGGCTGCCACCAAATTCATGGTTATCCTCCTGCCTCTACCTTCCAAGTGCTGGGGTGATACTTTTGTATTATCACTTGCAATCACAATAATATTTAATGATAGACCTGCCCTCTGGATTTTCTAAGCCAAGAATTCTCTATGTTGCTTCCAATGAAATCTTTGGGTAATTAAAAATGCTGTTTTAGGCCCTTGTCCTACGAATAGGAGTCAGCGTGAGCCAAGGCCTGGGGTAGTTCTGTGAGTATCCTTCCATTTGATTCTTCTTAGAACATGGAAAACATTTTTCCTTCATTTTATTTGCTCAGTGATAGATTCTCCTGAAAAGCTGGTACCCAGATGTCAAGATGCATTCTTTATTTTTTTGGAGGTCAATATTGTTTTCATGAGACTCCCAGTTTAAAATGCCATTTGTAAATGTGGACAATGTGAAGGTCTTGTGTGGTGAGATATATTAAGAAGAAGAGCTACAGACTTCTTCACATCTGATGGAGGAGGGTCATCTTTCTATCTGTTGTTTCATTGGTTAAGTAATAAAGAAACTGCTTGGCCTCTGATAGAACAAAAAATTAGGTAGGCGGAGTAGACAGAACAGAATGCTGGGAGAAAGAAGCTGAGTCAGTGAGTCGCCATCATTCTTCCACTCCAGGCAGACGCAGGTTAAGATCATTCCTGGTAAGCCAGCTCGTGGGCTACACAGATTATAAGAAATGGGCTAGTCCAGGTGCGAGAGTTAGTCGAGAAAAGGCTAGATATAATGGGCCAAGCAGTGTTTAAAAGAATACAGTTTCTGTGTAATTATTTCGGATAAAGCTAGCCGGGTGGCGGGACACAGCCCGCTGCTCTTACTACACACATCTTACGTGATTCTGAAGGCATTGCTAAAGAGAGGTTAGAAGGTCACAGTCCCCGTAGCTTTAGCAGGATTTGCTGTGCAGCTGAGGACATACTGATGCTCTTTTGAGAGACTAGACAGCACCTGGTGTTAGAATGCCGGGAGAGAGAGCAGAACTGAGTGAGCTCCCCTCTCTCCCCTCTCTGTGCTAGGTGAGGAAAGTTTGGAGAGGGATAATGGGGCACATGTGATCTGAAGGTGCGGGTGATCCAGCGATGGTGGTGGGGCATAAGGGGCACAAAGAAGGACCGTGGGTGAAGGGGACGAGTGGGAACAGAGCACTAGGACACGTTGTAAGAATGCCTTGATGCTACCTATTGTTGTGCACACTAACTCAACTGAAACAAAATAACAGGGTAAGGAGAGGGAGCATTATGGTGGCAATTCGGTCCCGTGTATCCACTTCCTCAGTCTTACCTGGGCTAACTGAAAGTGAACAAGGATTTATCAGAAGAGACTCATGGGCCTGTACTCAGGGATGACCTCACCAGGTGCTGCCTGATTTCCTTGGTTCTGGCCCCATAGATGATGGGGTTGATCAGACATGGGAGCAGCAGGTAGAAAGCACTGAGCAGGTTGTGTGTGTCTTGGGAGGCAGCGCGGGCCACGCGGTAGACAATGGATGAGGACATGGTGGAGGAGTAGACAGTGAAGATGACCAGCAGGTGGGAGCCACAGGTGTTCAGGGCCTTAGACCGTGCTCCACCTGATGAGATCTTGAAGACGGCTTGGAGGATGCGGGAATAGGAGGCTCCAAGCAGAAGCATATCCAGGACTCTGTTAATGGTGCGTATGATGAGTCCCACGGTCTTATTCAGTGAAATGTCCCCACAGGAGAGCTTCATCAGGGCCATGTGCTCACAGGCAAAGTGATGGATCACATCTGAGCGGCAGAAGCGCACTCGGGAGGCCAGCACCACCACCGGAGCAACGATGCATGTGCTCCTGGTGGCTGCCAACCCCACCAGGCCAGCCAGTAGCTGTCCTGTCACTATCTCTGGGTAGCGGAGAGGGTAGCAGATAGCCACATAGCGATCCAGGGCCATGACCAGGAGGATGTTGCAGTCCATAGAAACCAGAAAGTAGATGCAGAACATCTGTCCCAGGCACCGAGGGAGGGAGATGCGGTTGAAACGTGTGGAGAAGCTGAACAGCATGGCGGGCAGCACGGTGGTGGCAGTGCAGACATTGACAGCCAGTAGCAGGGCGATGAGCAGGTACATGGGCTGGTGCAGGGTCTGCTGGGATGCCACTGTGTGGATGACCAGGGCATTGGTGAAGAGGATCACCAGGTAGAGGCTGAGGAAGGGCAGCACCAGGAGGGCTCTGGCTTCTTGTATCCCTGGGAAGCCCACCAGAAGGAAGCTGGTGTAGGACTCATTGTAGGCGCCATTGCTCCACCCTGACATGATGCCTGAGGACACAGGGCAGCTCCAGGGAGAAGGAGGGGCAGGATGCCTGGTTTCAGTCCCAGAAAGGCTCTGCAAGAATCTGCCCCAGCCTTACCAGGCTAGACTGGGTATTTGGATTTTCATTAGTCTCCAATATTTCTAGAAGAAGGAAGAAGCCTTTTAGGCTTATATTTAATGAGCTACACATCTTTCTATAGGTCATTGCTTGCATTTCCAATATATCATGGGAGCAGATTTTGAGTGCAGAATTTGTGGGTCAAGTGATAGTCACACTTTTTTCATGTGTGAAGTGGATTTCCAGAGAAGTTGAATGGAGCTCATCACTGACTCGGTGGTGGCTGTGACATTTTAGCTGACATGTCTAGCTGATTTTGTTGTCTATCTGGAACTTGGTATTTCCTAGTAGTTTAAATGTTCGTCATTATGTATTTTGAGACATGGTTTATTAATCTTTTCAGAATTTTCACTTTGTTTGTGGTATTACTAAAACTAAAAGTCCATACATATAAAATTAATTCAATTGATATATCTTTTTGTAAATTAGTTCCTTTGTTTTTAGCATAGAAAATACTGTCTTGTTCAAAGGCCAAACAGATAGTGAATATATTCTGTTATTCTTTGGGTATGAGTTTTATTTTTTGTATGTTTGTGTCTGAATGTTTGTGTTGGTGTGCTTGCCTGAGTGTCTGGAGGTCAACACCAGGTGTCTTTCTGTACAAATTTTCACCTAATTCCTGAGACAGGTTGTTCACTGTTTGACTATATTTTCTGACCTTGGTGTACCTGAGATCCAACCTTCTTGGTTCTCATGTTTGTTCAGCAAACACTTTATACTGTTCTACTTAATCTCAGAGAGAGGCTTCTGAGAGAAAGTTTATTCTAGTTCTCAATTGCAGACAGAGCCACAGTGGTGGGAGGCTTGGCATCAGGCAGCTTGAGCAGGAAGCTGAAGTCACCTCTTCAGCAGCACAGGAAACAGAGAGAGGGAGCAGGAAGCAAAGTGAGGACATAGGCCCTCAAAGCCCACTCCCCAGTGACATAGCATCTTCCAGCAAAGCTCTACCTCTTAAAGGTTTTATAATCTTCCCAAATGGTGCCACCAATAGGGGACCAAGTGTTCAAATGGGAGACATTGCTCTTTCAAGCCATGACATTCATTGAGCAATCTTTCCATCCAGGTGTTTATGAGTTCTGACCAGCATGAAATACATTTGGCTCACAACCTGCGATAATCTAACTTGGTTTTACCCAGATAGCAACATGGTTGTTGTTCCAATTACCCATCAAGTGTACAGGTCCTCGAGGAGGCTAGATAAGGGTGCTGGATCTCCTGGAGCTGGAGCTACCCAACATGTGTGCTGGGAACTAAACTCGGGTCCTCTGGAAGAGCAGCAGGTTCTTGTAAACACTGACTTATGTCCCTTTTCCTGAGGTGTTCTAGTTGTTTTTTTTTATTGTTAATTGTTATTTTTGAGGTAGTGATGTCTCATTTGTACTCATACCATCACCATACAATTTTCAAAATATTCACTGTAAATGACTCGCTACAGGACTTCTTCACTTCAAATGCACAACTTAGTGGTTCCTAGGGCGTTCCCAGGACGTGGAGCAACAACCACCACGATTACAATCTCACTAGCGCCAGTGGAAACCCGTCCACCCGTAAACATGTGCTGATCAATTGCTAAGGTTCTTTCCAAGTTAGTGGGTTTGCCTGCTCAGGAAATTTCCTAATTATCTTTTGCAGCTAGCTGGGATGGCAAATGTGCACCACCACGTCTAGTCTGTGCTTTCTGAGCATCTTTTCATCTCATTTCTTCAAGGGAAATGTATTTTTTTTGACAGGCTTTCTCTGTAGCTTTGGAGCCTGTCCTGAAAGTAGCTCTTGTAGACCAGGCTGGCTTCAAACTCACAGTGATCCACTTGCCTCTGCCTCCCGAGTGCTGGCATTAAAGGTGTGCGCCACCACTGCCCGGCTTGAAATGTATGTTTGGATCATACCTTTGAACCTTTCAATCTGGTTGCTTCATATCACTGAGTTGTTAGGATCCAGAGCCATTTTGATCACTATAGAATTGTTAGGTTCCTAATGCAACACTTTCACAAGCGCTTTTAAGTTTTTCATTATTCTTATTTAATTTTCCCACTTAAGTGATAAAAAGTTTCACTTTGCTAATTTTCAAAAATTACCTTGTTGTAATTTGAAAAATTGGGATTTCATTAAACCTGTAGAGTAGTCTCTGGAGAATCAAAATCTTGGCCACACTCTGTCTTTCTGTCTGGTGACAAAGTGTGGTGTTTTTTTCTTTTCCAAAATTAAAAAAATTAGTATGTATGGTGTGTGTATGTGATTGTATGTGCACACATGTGTGTGTATGATGAGTATTTATATAATGTGTGTGTATTATGTGTATGGTGTGTATATGATGTGTGTGTTGTGTGTGTGTATGGTGTGTGTTGTGTTGTGTGTGTGTATGGTGTGTGTTGTGTTGTGTGGTGTGTGTGTGTGTGTGTGCCCTGGCATGCATGAAGGAGTTAGAGGATATCTTTTTGGAGCTGGTTCTCTCCTCCCACTGTGGGGTCCAGGGATGGAACTCAGGCATCAGGCTTGTGAGAAAAGCGGTTTTAGCCTGATTCATCTCACCAACCCTAAACTACAATGTCCTGTGCTTTCAAGTCATGTTGACCATCTCAGCAGTTGTGAGGTGTGATTTGTACAGGGCCATGGGAACAGACATCCTGTCTCCATTTGTATTCCTGAGGGCAAATACAGGCAGCTGGGTCACACTCGGAACATAGCAGCCAAATAGTGAGCATCTCCTGAGCTGTGTGTCCATGTGTGCTTCTCTGAGGCTACCACAGTTCTGTACACTCTTGTTAAAGTGTTTTCAGGAGATTCTCTTGGGCATTTCGAGCAGAATTACTTGACCCCCACCCTGATTTTAACAGCTGAAATTTACATATATATATTTAATAAACTAGAATTCCCAGAATCATGTTAAAAACTAAGAGGGGAAAAGCACCCTATATTTTACCAAGCGTTTTTGGTGTAGCGCGTGTTCTCTAGCATGTACCATGTTGATTTAGGTCTGACAGCAAAGGACATGGCCCTTTATCTATTCTTTATCCATTTATTACTAACACTCTATTTTTTTTGACATTTGTTGTATCCCAGTCACTCTGCTGGTCACTCACTCAGGCTTCACATATGCCTTAGACGTGACTTCAATGCCCAAATTGCTTAGGGTCTAGCTGGGAAGACCCAAGGTGTTCTGCTCTGAATTATGCTCTCTAGTTCAACTCTAGGGACAAAATCTGAGGGGGAGGCACCACCCAAAGACCAGGGATGCTGAGCTGGTGGGCATGGGGCTGTGAGGCTGAGCTCAGGGGTCTGGATTTCTAATAGAGAACCAAAGTCTGAGTCAAGGTGAGTTTAGGTGAGCTTCCACAGAGCGGAAACTTGGGAATTAGGCCAGAGATGGATGGAACTCCAAAGCCATAGTCCCCATCCCTGTCATCAAAGGAGGTACCTGGATGTCCTCCTACAGAAGAAATTACAGCGTAGAAAGGAAAAGGATGATGGGAAGGGGGATGGATGAGACCCAGTTTCTAAAAAGAGGGACACAGAAAACAATTTCCTTCTGAGAAGACCTGGGCCTGGGGGTGAGGCTAAGGAGGCAGCAGAGTGGGCTGGGGTAGTGGTGTGATGGGGACCCTGGGAGGGGTAGCAGGGATGAGTCTAAGTCACTGCCACGCACATCTCCCACACCTCCTCATCTTCCCAGCCTGTCTCCTCTCTACACTTACCCTGGAGCTGATCCTCATGCCAGCACAGACAGGCAGGGGCAGAGAGAGCCAGCTGGCTTCCCTGAGTGTCTTTAAATGTACGCCTCCTCCTTCCCCTGGGGGCTCAGGCGTCAGCTCAGTCTTTGGGCAGAGCAAGAGCTGTCTGCCTGACCCATGGTCTCCTAGGAGCTCTGAGAAACCAACTGGTCACCTGGCATTCAGGCCCTTTCTGAGGTCTGTGCTGTTCCATGTCCTTGTTCTGGAACTAGAGACCCAAGAGAGTCAGGATGAACTCAGACCTTATGCCCCCAACTCAGCCCTAGCTGATTGCCTGGGTGACTCTGCCAGGGGAGGGGCAAGGAGGGGGCTTCAGGGTGTTGATTAGTCCAGCAGGCAGGACCTAACTGTCAGGAACGAGGAGCCAGGAAACCAAGAAAAGGCGACTTTTATTGGATGTGGTGATTTGTGCGTATATGGTGGTGGTGGGAGGGTGTGGAAGGATTGGGGGCTCCTGTGGGATTTATGGGAAAGGGCGACCCTGTGAGCAGGAGGATGGGGAGTGGCGGGTCCTGCTGAGGTGGGATCTTATCACCCCGTATTAGTGGTGGGGTATCTAGGGCTTTTAGGTGACTTACTCTGCGGACCTCTGGTAGCGCTACGAGGGTCATTCGGCCCAAACCTGCTTCCCTCCAACCATCCTTTGCCTTGCTTCTCTTTGGGTCCGGGGAAGGAAAAGCCCACGGAGGAGCAGACCCCCGAGCCAGGCTGGAGATGTTGGGAAGCTGCACACAGGCTGGGAGGAGAGTTGTGGGGTTGAGACTTCACACAAGGATACCGATGTTCATGGGTGTGTGGCCGTGAGAAGCCAACCAGAAGCCATGGATGAGGGTGAAGGAATAGGAAGGCAGAAACCAAACCAGATTGTGTGGCTTGGAGCCCAGGGCTGGAGTGTGCTTCAGCAGTGATGGGGTGGGGAGGCAGTGGGGTGTGGTGAGTGGGTAGTCAGAGGGCTGGAGGGCCTTGCAGGACCTGTCAGAGACCCCACACACTACTCACTGGCCACCACCCAGGCTCAGGGGTGAGGCTTACTAAGAGGAAGGATCCCCTCTTTCAGGAAAGGTACATCTCACACGACCCTTCCCTGTGTCCTGCGGCCCAGGACTTCAACCTATGCCCAGATCCACAAGCCTTTTTCTTCCTTCTGTTTTATA